CCAAGCACAACCTAGCGTGAAATCGGCCTAAAACACGAGAATCAACACCTCAAACGGTGTAAGTATGAGGGTAAAAACATGTGTAAATGACGGTCTATCAATTGTTCAACTTAATTTAACTTGTACCATAACTTCACCTAAAAACACCATTGTTCAACTTAATTTAAACAAAACATAACTTGAAATAAAAACACCATTGTTCAACTTAATTTAAACAAAACCATAACTTGAAATAAAAACACTCATGCATTGTTTCGACGGTTTGCCCTCTGCTTCCTTGTGCGATGGGCGACTGGTCCACCGGGTGTAGATGATGGTGGAACGGGTGGCAGATTCCTATTCGCCGTAGAAGGGCGATCCTCCGTGCTATGCCGCCTCGGTTCCGTGATAGGTGGCCCCTCCGTCTGCGGTCGAGGGCTATCCATGCTCATACGGTGGGGAGTGGATTGCCATTGTTGTTGCCATTGTTGTTGTGATCGAATCCAAGGTGAGAAGTCTTGGTGTGGAGTGGATTGCCATTGTTGTTGCCATTGTTGTTATGGTCGCTGCAAAGGTGAGAAGTCTTGGTGGGGACTTGAGTATGAACCCTCGGCCCAAGTAGCTGAAGATGTGCCGTCATGAAATGTACTTGGCCATTTTTCATACTGGAAACTGGGCCGGAGATTGTACTGGAAACTTGACCGCCGATCATACTGGCTTCCCGGCGTGGGATCGTACTGAGTACTCCCCCCTTCACCGCTGCACACCTCCAAAGGAGTAGGCGCCTTCCACGCCTCAAATGGTTTGATCTCCGGCATGTGAGGTCGATCCCTCATAGCTTTGTTTTGCCTTCTATGGACCGGCGGAGGCACTGGGTCAACATCAAGCATCACCGGCGGCGGTCTCACTGGGGGAACTAGAGGGTATCTATGATGGTCACGTCCGCGCGCTCGCATACAGCCAAGGAGATTGTTCGCTATCCTTCGAATCATCCCCACCTCTCGACCCGCCGCCGAATGATCTGCGGTCCGCGCGAGGTCGTGGATTCGCTCGATGCCATCAACCTAAATCGAACAAAATAACAAAGTTAGCCATTTAAAAAATAGTGCACCGCATGACTAAACAAATAAAAAATTAATTTCTTACCAAAGCTCCGTCCGCCGCTCCTTCGGGGGTCATGTAACAAACAGATTGTCTTCGGTAGGTTTCCAGGTATGGGTCATGGTAGCCCATCCGCCCCACATTAGATGCCGTTACAATATCCTGATCTTGCCTAACATTCCACAGCCGGATCAACGGCTTATACTCCTCCGGCCAATTAGTAGGTCCTTGTCGACCATCTTTCCCGTGGTACCCCTTCTGACTCTCCGGGACATCCAATGGTATGCATTGCTCACGTCCAAATTGTCGTAGACATCGATCCGGCAAGTGCCACTCCACTATATGGTGGTAGATTAGTGGAACTCGGGTGCACCATTGACTGGGATGTAATGGGAACTTGTGGACGTGATGCGCAACAATCCGTTCTGGATACGGATCGAACTTAAGCTACGAAGGTTTAAAAAATAAAACCATTAATCAACATAATAATATAAGTTAAAAAAAAAGTAGGCTTTAATAGCGTATTATGATGCTCACCTCTGCTTCCCAAAGGTGATCAAGCCTCCTACGATACTCCTCCAGCTTATGCGCTCCTAGGTTGTCGCATGTTGTTTCACCAAGCCACCTATTAATATGGAAAAGTACACAATGTTAGTACCTTCAAAAAATTTCGTTATAAAAAACTAAATTAGTAAAAAAAATGTGAGAACTATGAGTGGGATAGAAGATATTTACCTACAACCATAAGCTTCATGTCGTAGGGGATGGCCGGGTCCCCATTCCTTGTCGGGGTCTACCTTCGGCGCAATCCATGGCAAATGCTCCCAAGCCCAAAATTGGACGATGAACATGGCCCCATCAATCTCCTTCACCGCTCTCGCACTAGCATTACATAGGGATCGGTAGAGCTGAGCTAGGCAAGCAGATGCCCAGCTCAAGTTTCCCATATCATCCCAACTACCAAGTATGATCTTCAACCATGAATTGCTGATTAGGTTGTTGGATTTCTTGGGGAAGAAAACTCCTCCGATCATGCCGAGGATGTAGATACGTGCATAAATGTCTTTATCGCGCTCCGAGCTTTCCTCCGTGAGGGGAATGCCTCCGAACTCAGGGTTGTGCTTACGCCTGATCTCCGCTGTCAACCACGTGATGGATACTTGGCCCTTCGACAATGGTGGATTACCATCCGCATCGTGATCTCCCTTTTCTGGCGGACACAACCCGGTGACCGTCCATATAAAATGTTGCCAACCACTCATATTGGCAACAACTTTAGGTGGTGGCGTAGAGTCCACACAAACAACATCACCATCGATGGGGAGATCGGTTAGGATGGCGATGTCCTTAAGTGTGATGGTGCACTCGCCTTCACGAAAATTGAAGCAGTGTGTCTCCTTTCGCCATCTCTCTACCATCGCCGTGATGAGTTGGCGGTCGATCTTAATTCCACTGAAATGCCTAATCGAATCCAATCTTGCCCTTTTTAGAAAGGGCAAGATGACGTCGTTCCATTCAAGCACATTCGTTGTGCCCCTATAGCGGACTATATGGTATGCATCCTAGAGAAGAATTTAAATTTCACTATAAGTTGATGATTTATACATATATAAATATATTATAAGATACAATTTATATATAAATCAAGGTTGTTTTAGAGAAATATACATTATCTAATAAACATTAATTTTAACATAACTAAAATAATTTTCTAAGATGCAATATTAATTAAATCAAGCGATTTTATAGAAATATACATTATCTAATAAACATTAATATTAACATAACTAAAATAATATCCAAATATATTATTTTGTTAATCGTATTGATTATTTTCAATAATTTAAAGCAATACAAGTACACTCGTAAGACTCTTAGGAGAGGTATACATCTCCTTAGAAACACAGTCTTTTTGACAGAAAAAGGGGGGATCCGAGGATCGCTTAGAACCCAATTTTCCCAAGTCATGGGGGGATCATGATGATCGCTTAAGTCCTCATTTCCTTAGACATGCATTTCTTTATAAAGATTCTAAATAAGTGTTGTATTGTATTGATTTAAATTATAGAAAATAATCAATACGATTAACAATTAAGTAAATTATTGTACAAACAAATAAATTACTTTAACAAAATACAAATTACAAGTGATGATAAATAATATGTACCTTGTGGTCGTTCCAAACGTCTCTTGAACGATGATTTGCTTGATTGTATAAAACTGTCGGATCAATCGGTCCTTGCTCAACATAATATCGTTGATTGAAAATATCAACATCCGGCCCAACCTACGATAGCATAACAATAACACAAATCATTAGTATATAAATTAAATAAATCATTATAACAACAACAACAATTGGGAAAAATGAGTACGTACCGTTGGATAATCATCATAAAAAAGGCCCTCTTCTTGAGCGAAATCGGCCATTCTCTCGGAATCCGGACAGAGGTTCGACGGTTTTTTAGTGAAAACCAAAGAAAAGTTTTTTGGAGGCAGATCGGACTTAGGCCGCACCTAACAAAAAAACGTTTCTAAGGTTTTTGGGTGGGAAGGGGAGTGGATAGGGAGAAGTTAGAGGGAGAGAGGGGGGAATGAGGTTGGTGTGCAGAAAAATGAAGGGGGGAGGGGGTTTATATAGTGCACAAACCGCGTGGGGGAGGGCTGTTCTGTAATTTTTCCCCAACGAAAACCGCGCGTCCTGAAGGAGGTTTGCTTTTCCCAAACAGTCAAACCGCGCCTCGGTGGAGCGGTTTGCTTTTCCCAACAGTCAAACCGCTCCGCGAGGAGGCGGTTTGCTTGGGCGACGCGGATCGCCGAGCTGGCGCACGTTTTGGCCGTCGGATCGCTCTCCCAAGGAGCGGTTTGATGCAACGCCATGTGGAGACGCGGTTTGACAGCCATGCAAGGTCAAACCGCGCCCTCAGGCAGCGTTTTGTATTGTAAACGCAGCCTGGAGGCGCGTTTTCATTAAAAACCGCTCCTTAGAGGCGCGGTTTTATATAAATGGTGGTATTTTTGGAAATTATTTGGATTGGGTGGTATTTTTGTAATTTTTTTTAAAACGGTGGTAGTTATGGATTTTTTCCTTATATTATGGAGGTTCCCCTCCAGAACCCCGTTAGTTCCCTTTTCGGTGGCTCCTGCGCAGAGCACGGAAGGGTATTTTGGAGTTTTCCTCCCATGTCGTATATATTTCCAGCCAGTCTTTTTTGGGACTTTTCCGTTTGGTGCAAAGTATATTTCATGCCAGACTTCCTTGGGCTTTTCCCATTTTATGATATTATTATAAATATATTTCCACCCACTTACCCAGTTCTGGACATTGATGGGCTAATATCAGGTGACTAAGGGGGGTCCCCTTAGTCACATGACTAAGTCAATCTCAACCTTTGAGCTTCATTTAAATCTAATGGTTCACATTAATTCAATTTAATGAAGGATAATGTGGTAATTGCAGAGTTTTTATATTTTTTAATTATTAAATAATTTTATAATAATTAACCTGCGCGCATTTCCTTCCCCGACCAGACGACCCGAACTCCGGCGGGCTTTTTCTGGGAACTCCGACGAGCTTCCTTCCCCGACCAGACGATCCGAACTTCGGCGGGCTTTTCTGGGAACTCCGGCGGGCCCAGAGATTTCACGCATCCCTTTTATGGGAACTCCATGCCTTTTTTGGCCATTCAACGGGCTTCTTTTTCTGCCCAGGGGAACTCCATGCCTTTTTTGGCCATTCACGAGAGAGAGAGAGAGAGAGAGAGAGAGAGAGAGAGAGAGAGAGAGAGAGAGAGAGAGAGAGAGAGAGTAAATTTGGAGGGAAGTGGAATAAATGGCCGATACTACTGGAAGGATTCCTCTTTGGATAATAGGCACTGTAGCGGGTATTCTTGTGATCGGTTTAATAGGAATTTTCTTTTATGGTTCATATTCCGGATTGGGTTCATCCCTTTAGTAATCGGATGAACGTAGAGATGAAAGTGTAAGAACTCAATTCAATGGTCCCCCCTATGTTTCTAACTTGAGGGGGACCATTGGAGAGAGAGAGAGAGTTTTCTGGCAGTCCGAGGAAATTTCCCGACGACAATTTTGTAATGTTTGCTGACCTATTTTGTAATGTTTGTATAGATTCGGTTTGTATTGTTTGTCATTTTTAGTGACATTTTGTACGGTTTGTATGCTTTGTACTGTTTGTTGGTTTATTTTGTAATGTTTGTACGCTTTGTTATTTTGTAATGTTTGTCAGTTTTTTTGTAATGTTCGTAAACTTTGTTATTTTTGTGAACCATGTTTATCATTTTTGTCAACCATGTTTGTAATGTTTTTTATGTCTAAAAAACAACCTGGTTGACTTTTGGATGGAACTTCTCTATATAGGGATGGAGCCTCCAAAGTCAACCCGGTTGTTTTTTCTTTTTGTATGGTTTGTATTGTTTGTCAGTCTAGTTTGTATTGTTTGTACAATTCATACGTTTGTAATGTTTGTATGTTTTGTCGTTCTAGTTTGTACTGTTCGTATGTTTGTATGGTTTGTACTGATTGTAAATCCGGTTTGTATACTTCGTAATTTTTCATAATACCCAAACTACCCCTGGCATTAATTAAATAGCCCTTCCCACTTTTTAACCATTGGATTGAAGTGTCCAGATCTAATGGCTAGGAGGGGCTTAGTCAAGTGACTAAGCACCCCCTTAGTCACCAGATCCGCACTCGACATTGATATCTCAGCTCAAGTGCTCAACTACTCCTCCTTCCTTTCCTTTAGAATATAAATTCATAATTAAAGGCCTTCTTAAAATACAAATCGTAAATTCAAGCCTTTTTAGTTAAGCTTCCCCCATTAAAGCCCTCTCAGCCGAGCCGAGCTTCCTCAACATATACGAAGACGCTGACACAGATTTCATCCACAATGCAATCAATGTCCAAAGCTAGAATAATTCTGAATCGTAAAATTGTCGGATTGAAAGTCTATATAAAAGTAAATCTAAATAATATCACTATGGTAAATCATGAATAATACAAAGATACATAACACTTAAAATAATAAATTTTCAAGGTTAATGTTGGAAAGTCATGAATCAGTATTGATTAATAAGTTTATGTGACTTGATGATGGTCGACGGTGGCCACTAAGAGGAACTAAGTGACATTGATGGAGGGGAAGGAATCAAATATGTTATGCTTTGCTAATTTGGAAAAAAAATACAAAACTGACCTAAAGATTTTATCTATTTTCGTCAACTCAATTCAGTTTGGTCAAAATTCAATCAATACATCCTCAACCTTAAATTGTTAAACTCCTTTGAAAATCTAGATTTTACAAATTTTAATAATTCAAATCATGAATGGTGTAAGATTTTAAGATTCATATGTTTTATAGTGAAATCAGAATCAGAACAAGTAAATATCGTAAAGTCATAAAATTTTATAATTTAAATAAAACTTTTACTACCTTATCCATAACTTATACTAAAACAAGGCTCAAGAGTTTAACAAATAGCATTAATATAAAATCGAGCAATCAATACCATGCATCATAATGGTGCTCGATGTTCACATATATTGCTACCTATCCCTCTTTGTAATTAATGTTTAAGGTTTCCTTGAATAGTGAATTCTTTTCACACTCTCTCCATGTCGATCGAGGATATATGCACCGGCGCTACAACAGGAGAGGACTATTGCTTTGCTTTGTTAATTGAAGTATATCCATCAGAATTAATCTGTTATTTGGTTTGTATAATTAATTTTTAATTAAATTGTTGATATGTGGCTTTTAGCCATCAATTTCACAGTATTGACTATGAAGAGTAATTAGAATAACTCAATAACAGGTAATAAAAAACAAGAATAACTCAATAACACACGATTAAGTATTTGATAATTATTGTTTACATTATTATTAGTGATTATTTTCGTTGTTAAATGACTCAAAAAATATTCCCTGGGATAATCATTCAAACAACCAAATAGTTAGGGGTGGGAAACGGTGCGGTCCGATCCAGACCATACCATAAATACGGTTTGTAGTCGAGACCGAGAGGTTGGAACACAAACCATGGACCAGACCATATACTATACGGTCCAGGCCACACCTATGCGGTGCGGTCTGTTATGGTCTGGACCAGACAGACCATGTTAAAAAAATTAACTCTTGTTCGCCCTCCAACCCTTCGCCGGTATCTATAAAAAAAATCTAGTGACCAATATGCTAGTGAAACAAAAAAATTGTGATCGTAATTAAATGAGAAGAAATATGAGGATAGGAGTGGGTTTTTTCAATTTTCAAATAGCCTTATTCCCTGTTCCTCTTTGTGCTACCGCTTCTCTCCTCTCTCGAGTGATTTGAAGGTTCTCCCAGTTGATAACCTTTTTGATGACGTCGAGGTAATTTTGAACCACTAAGATGGTCGCATATCTCTCAATAATTTTCCTTATCTCATCAAGGTGAACGAATTTTTTTGTAGTGTTTAATTTTTATCGACTCCATAGTCTAGACATTGTCTGTGAATATTATTTATGAGTCTTTCTGATTTTTGTGTGGTTCTTTGATAAGTAGATAACATATAATCGATCATTTGGCAATTTGTTAGCTCTCAACTAGATGAAGAATCAACTAACTTTGTTCTTCAAATACAGATATGGAGGTTAAATTTAGTGTTATTTTAGTCCAAGGTAGTAGGTAGTGTGTCGCGATCTGTTACGGTTTACTGCGGTAGACCGCAGTCCAGACCACTTCAGACCACGCACTAAAGGAGGAGACCGCAAACCAAACCAGACCATAGTTCTGGTCTCACGGTCCAGACCAAACCATACGATACGGTCTAGATCGCGATTCCCATACGATTTGGTCTGGATTCCCAGCCCTACAAATAGTGCTTCAATTCAATCATCGAAAATTGACCACATGTATTTTATTGACATAATTATATACATCTTATAATTTAATGTGTAATTGTGTATCCATGTCATGCATGGATTAGTCAAAAAGAGAGTCGTTTTACGCCACCAGAAGGTGAGGTCGATTCTGAGCAGTCTCTATCTGAAGCGCAAAATAATTTTTTTTATGGTACGAACATCGATGAATTATAAATTATTTATAATCTCTAAATATTATACAATGCTTGATTTTACAAAACTATTGCTCTTCGTTTTATATTTTCATAAATTAATGCACATAAGTCATATTTGAAAGAATTGATCAACCATTGAAAAAGTTAGCGAGAAAAAAATTAATATATATAAAATTGAAGTAAGGTTACTGTTGTCTAAATTATTACATTTTGATACCCAAAATTTAATGAAGTTACAACTTAGTCATTATAATATATATTTTACATTTTAATACACCAAATTTAACTCTAATGTAAAACGATTGAACAATTATATTTTGGTATCCAAATTTTATAAGATTTTCATACTTACAAATTTTCAAATTTACATATTGGTTCAATATTTAGATTTCACGTGAATCCATGAATCCAATCCACCATAACATAAAAGTATAAATTTAGTCTGTACCATACAAGATGTTGTATCACTCAACTGTAGGAGAAGATTCGACCATTTTATATTTGATCATTACGTGAAACATCAAATAAATGATAAAAGCGAGACGACTCTAAAATATTGCAATAACGAATTTATAAATTCATTTAGTACATTTACGGGGTAACAAACAAACATCTACTAACTAAATATAACAAAATATGCGACATCTACATAAGCAAGTGTCAATAAATTGCTACGGTGAAAAGGGTTGATTGTTTTACTGACGGCCAACTAAAATAATTAGTCAAAATCTTTGCATCATCTACTTCCTCTTTGTTTCATTTTCCACTCGCCTTCCCTAACCCTTTCTTTATTTCTTTCTTTGCCTTCTTCGTCTAACCCTAATTAGTGTACTATTTTTATGTATTCTAATCACTACTCAAACCCATCTACAAACTTCCAAATCCATATATACGTCACCCATACCCTACCCATAATCAATGGGTCTACTTGGGTTTAGGTACATATAATTTATTTGCCAAAAATTTAAAGATTTTTTAAATGGCATGTTGACCGCCATATATCTCTTTTCAGTCAATATATTACTAACAAAAGTGATAATAAAAAATTAATTTTAGGGTAATAATACTAACAAAACATTATAATGGGTCACATAATACATGTCCGTAGACCATCTCCGCCCGCGACAAGGCGCGACATCGCCACCTAGTGTGTTATATAAGGCAAAAGTATATATCTAAAAAAATTGTCAACATTGGTACTCCATTGATTTCATATTTTTCTCCCCTTCATTTACATGTCATAAAATTCTGTTTTGGATGCTAAGATTGTTTATTTATTGAGGTGTCACTTTTTGAGGTTATTATGGGATCTTTGCATCAACTTTTATTGGAGGTAAACTGGGCCAATCTAAAAATGATGAACACGAAGTATATGTTCATTAGATAAATATATCACGCAATTGGTAAAGTAGTACCGCTTTATTATTATTATTATTATTATTATTATTATTATTATTATTATTACTATATTCTTATTATTTAGTTACGAAAATTGTTTTTTTAAACTGTACCATCTGTGGGGTGTGCGTTGAGGTTTAGGTTTATTTTAATTTGTGATTTAGGTAAAGTGTTTAGGTATTTACATAATTTTATTTTAGACATGTAACTTGCTAAACCAAGCGAATAAAATTATCACAAAATTCAAAAAATTTACCTTTTTGAGTTTCGAATGGAAATATATGAATCCAAATATAGTGACTTTGAGTTCTAAACAAGTCGGTAATGGAAAAAAAAAACTCAAGAAAAATCTTTGAGCAACATTTTATATTGATGAGGTTAAACCATTCATAGATTGTCGTTACATAACATTAGGTGATGCATGTTGGAGATTTTTTTAGTTTGATGTTAGTTGTAATTCACCTTCTATGTTGTGTATGTACATGTTATGTCATTTCATTAGGGAGAATAAAGTA